GACTGCCAGATCCTCCCTGAGCGCCTTAGTTAAGCGGATGAAGTGGAAGGGCTTCGAGATTCCAGACGTGGCGGCCGCCAGACGCCTGTTGAATACTCTGCCCATAGGCATGATCCGGCAGGCAAAGTTTAGCTTGCCTAAAAGGGATTGAAGGCGTCGGAGAGTGATCTTACGCAAGGAGCCCGCCTCACGCACAGACACCCGTAGATCTACCAATTTGTCCACCGGGAGCCGACATTCCCCAATAACGGAATCAATCTCAATTCCAAGAAAACACAGGCACGTTGAAGGGCCCACTGTTTTGTCGGGCGCCAGCGGTACACCAAACCCAGAGGCCACATCCGCCACCGACTGCAAAATCTGTGAGCAGATTGAGGAATGCGCGGGACCAACACACAAAAAATCGTCTAAGTAGTGAAGGAGGGAGCTGTGACCAGACTCCATTCTCACCACCCATTCAAGAAATGAGCTAAAACACTCGAAATAGAAGCAGGAGATCGCGCAGCCCATCGGGAGGCACATGTCCACATAGTAATGCCCCTCAAAGTAACAACCTAAGAGATGATGACATCCCGGGTGAACCGGCAAGAGGCGAAAAGCAGACTCAATGTCTGCTTTTGCCATGAGTGCCCCTGATCCGGCAGCTCTGACCATACAAACCGCAGCATCAAACGAGGCGTAGGAAACACGACATAATTCAGATGCAATGTCATCATTTACAGACCTCCCATAGGGGTGCGATAAATGATGAATGAGCCGAAATTTACCCTATTCTCTCTTGGGTACGACGCCTAACGGCGACACCCGGAGATCCGGGAGAGGGGATTCCCGAAAAGGGCCTGCCATACGCCCCAAAGCCACTTCCTTGGCCAACTTGTCCCTGACCACCCCAGGGTGGTCATAGACCGAACGCAAGTTCCGGCATACATTTGACGCCGGTCGAGGTTGGTGGGGAATCCAAAAGCCAAACGTAAAACCTTCCAGGAGTAAGGTGGCCGCCTTTTTGTTTTTATAACGTTTTAACCACGGTTGCATCGCGCCTACGTCCACCGGCGTCCTCGCCTTTTGAGCCCATGGCGTCACCCTTGTCGCCAGGCCTACCCCGCTTAAAGCATTTTGAGGCGGGGTGCGATCCGCCACACCCAGAACATTCGTGCTTGAAACGACAGCCTGCGCCGAATTTACATTGCCCATCGTTGTACTGCCAGCAACAACCCGTTCGTCGTTGATTGGCCGACGCAGCGGTCGAGGACCCTGCGCCGGCCCCCCCAAGAAAGGACGAGAGGCCCCCTTGATGCGACGCCGGGCGGGTCATGATGGCCAACCACAAGCCAATGTCCATCTGGTCCCAACTCAACGATGGGCGGACCGCTATGCGTTGGCGGAACTGCTCATCATAGCGCCACCAGCCTAACCCGCCATAGGTCCGGCACGCGTTCCATATCGTATCCTGGTAGCAAAAGAGGGATGAGCATTTATTAGGGGACTTCTCACCTATCACACTCGCCAGGATCGAAAAGGCTCCAGAATCCAATTACCAAAAGTTTTTGGTATCTTCCGATACCTAAACTTCTCCTTCTCCTTTTCAGAGTCTTTTGCCGTAGGATCAACCCGAGGCAGATCCTCCATAGGGAGCAAGGAAAAAATTTCAACGAATTCCCCTTTCTCTATCTTGGTGCGCAATTCCGGGGTCAAATGGAGACCTAGAGGGCCTGACCAGCACATGTAAGCGGCCCCATGCGCAGCGGGGGCGACCCCTGACCCCGAAGACGCAGCGACGTCATCTGACGATCCCTTGGATGGCTCAAGTTCCGCCACTGGAGGAACTGGCACAACAGGGCCACTGGGCCCTGCAGGTGCAGCAGAGGGGCCTGCGACCACCCCTGAAAGGTCAGAAGCACCAGCAGCTGCCCAACCCGACCTCAGCTGATCATCGAGGGCTAAAGGGGGCTGGAGCCCAGGGCGATGACCCTTCTCCAACGACTGTAAGAATTGTCTCATGGTTTGTATTAAAGCATCCCACTCAGGTAGGACCCCTGCACCAAGACCCCTTAAAGCACCCCCGGATAAAGCTGCGTACTCACCAGCGACAATGGAATGTGACGGCAGCTGCGGCGACCCCATAACCTGGTCCCCAGGTTGCAGTGGACCCACGGGAGTTGTCACTGCAGAAGGGACAGCACCAGCGCCAGCGTCCAAGAAACGCATCCGACCAGGGGCCACCTGTGAAGAAAGCAAAGGTGAAAAGGAACCCAGCCCTCCCACACCCGCCGTAAAAGTACTTGGAGAGGCGGATGGCACCCCAACAGGCATAGGGCCGGGAAGGGTGGAATGGAGGGTACCAATAGAGGGCCCAGGATGATGAGGAGGGGGGGCAGGTAAAACTTGATGGGCCCCCACCCTGAGAGGGCCTGCTGATGGGGCAGACAATGGGCCTGGGGCAGACAATGGGCCTAGGGCAGGTCCAGGCGTACCAGAAAGGGGGGCAGACACCAGGGGGGCAGGTGAGGGGGAGGGGAGGGGTGATGGGGCATGGACAGAGGACAGGGGAGAAGTGCCAGCCCCAGAGGGACCCACTGTGGGTTGAAGGGCACTAGGATTGGTGGCAGGAGCAGGCCCAGGGGAGGCAGGGAAGAAGGGCAAAGCAGGAGGGGAGCTGCTGTGAGGGTGAGGTGATCCCGCTGCAGTAACAGGGCCTCCCGAACTCCCCCCCGGAAACAACCCTGCCGACCTGCGGCTTACTCACCCGACCGGAGGTCACCGGAGCCGCCATCCGTGAGGATCTCGTCATTGGAAACCTGCTGAAAGCCGGTCTCGCGGCCGCCCTCCGCAAAGCCCGCGAGACCGGCTGGGGAGATGAGAGTGAGGCAGCGTGGGCCGCATCCGACCGGCGCGCGGCCCCCTGCCGGCCTCCCCGAGCCCCGCTCGGGGAGGAAGTGCCGGGAGTGGGAGAGACCTCAGCGGCCGCGACCACGTGGGAACTGGTGCGCGGCCCGGCCACAGGGCTCCTGCTCCTGCCCCTCACCCGACCCTCCCGCGAGGGGCTATACCGGGTGGGGGGGCGTGCACGGCGGCCCTGGACGCTGGGGCTGGTGAGAGGGGGAGCAGCCGACCCAGATGCACCCTGCAGCCGCGCCAACTGTGACTGCAGGTGACGTCCTCCATCCTGAAGGGCCTCAGCCCTGAGAGCAGACAAAATTGCTTCTATGTCCATGCCCTGGCCGTGAGACAAGCAGTGGTAACAGGCAGCAAGGAGGAAGAAGATGTTACCAGCCGTTATTCTAAGATGGCTGAGGTAAGGGACAAAATGACTGCCCATTTATATGACCCCACCCCACCCCTAACCTAAGTGACACCCCCCCACATGTGACACCTACACCCACTACACCCACACATGCCTCCTATCCGGCTAGCTTTTCAGCCCGCCTCCTCTGGGCCTTTTCATTTGTGGTTCTGTAAAGAGTGATCTGGGGCAAAATTCTAAAAGTGGAGCAATCAGCAGGTAAATTCCAATGGTCTCCATAGTGACTGCTCAGCTTTTGAGACAAAGCCCCAGAGATTGTAGCGCATAAAAATTTGAACAACAATATCTAGGTTAAACTAGCAGAACTGTAATTGTAGCTGAATTGGTGAATATTATCAGATTATTTTGCAGAAAAGCACTTTATCAATTTCTATAAAAATAAATTAAATGCATTACCATGGGTAGGGCCTAATGCGTGTGCGGCACTTGCCGCGCATGCGCATTAGCGCCTCCCTCATCAGTAATGTGTTAGGAGGCGGAGTCGCGAACCTGTGCCGAGGGACATCGGTGCTGGGATCGGGTAAGTAAATAAAGACTTTTTTAACCCTTTATTTACTGTGGTGGGGGGAGGAAAGGCAGAGGGAGGTATAGTGTCAGGAATACAGCTTTGTATTCCTGGCACTATAGTATCCCTTTAAGAGCTACCAGACATCACAGAGTATCTCTGTGGTGTCTGGTATCCCAATAATGCAAATCTAACCAAGTCAATAACTACAGAGAACATTCCATGTATACATTGCACTAGCCAAACTAGCAAATATTAATTAGTATCTTAAACAGTATTTGCACCCACACCATTTAAGAATATATTAGTTGGAGGGCTGGGACTGCCCAACTTCAAACATTACTACCACGCGGCCCAATTGGCCCACATCCAACAATGGCATGCCCCCCCCGGCAGTAAACGCTGGGTAGACCTGGAACATGATATTCTGGGCTGGGATCAGCCCTCCTCATACATCTGGGTACCACGGATACACCGTCCACTCCCCCCACCCACCTCTCCGGCAATCACACATACCATCGCACTCTGGGATAAACTTAATACTAAATACGACCTGTCCTCCTTTCTCTCCCCAATGACCCCGATCTATCGTAACAAACTCTTCCCTCCCGGAATGACAGCAAGGCATTTTCTAGCGTTTGACCACCGAGATATCTCACGACTCGGCCACTTGTACCAGCAAGGTGAAATCTTTAAATACAACGAACTCCCAAACGCGGGGGCTCTGACCACCGCTGATCATTTTCGCTATATACAACTCCGAGACCTAGCGCAACAACCACTAATTAAACAAGCAGGTACCTCACCGCTGACAGCATACGAAAAACAATGCCTAGCGGCCCACCTGCAACCAGGCCAAATCTCCGCCAACTACACAACATTGACTACCCACATTTCCCAGGTCAACCTAACCTATATTGCCGCGTGGGAAAGAGATCTGGGAGCACCGGAGGACCCGACCGATTGGGCCGCCATATGGGAAACACTAAATTCCCTTACCGTTTGCGTCACGCACAAAGAACAGGCATACAAAACAATGCTCCGCTGGTACCTGACTCCACACAGACTCCACAAGATGGGCCAGAAACCAGACGACGGGTGCTGGAACCTATGTGGCGAAGCAGGCCGCTACCTGCACTGCTGGTGGACATGCCCCAAAATCAAGCCACTATGGGAAGAGGTTGGCACCCTCATAGAAACGATCATAGAGAAGCCAGTGGTCGTACAACCGTGGACTATGCTACTCAGCAAACCATTAGACTCCCTCACGAGGAGTGAAAACAAACTAACCGCCCGAATCAACCTAGCAGCCCGAAGGGCAATAGCAGAACTATGGGCTGACCAGAGAACACCCCACATCTCTACGATCATCAGTAAAATTAAAGAGACCCGAGACCTAGACGAGTTGACAGCACAGATTAATGATACGTACAAATCATTCCATCGTATATGGGATCCCTGGGATGCGAACCACACAAAATTGCTTGAGACCAGCCTAAGAACAGACACCCCGGACTGAGGATAGCGCTCCCTCAATGACACCTCGCATAGAAGGCTTACCACATAGGCGCAATGCTACTGGAACCCTGAATGGGATCTGCTCAACATGGGACGGACGCCAGAACGCACCCCCCCTCCCCTTTTTTTTTTCTCTCCTTTCCCTCCCTCTCTCTCCCTTCCTACCCCGACCCTCCCCTCCGCACCCCATCGGGGCCCTGCAGGCGTGGGTAGAGAGGGCATCTACCCCCACAAGGCCCCTTTCTCCATCCTAAGAAATGGAGGCACACCACAGTCACCACCGTCTGCCCAGCACAGATTAACACGGCGGGACTAACATCGCCCCCCCGAGACCACCTCCCCCCCTCCTCATTCCGCCCACACACCATCAAACACGCTCAGGTGCTCCAGAGAGACCATAGGGCAACACACCCCCGTTACAGCCAATAGCACCCACAATGCAATGACTAGTCAAATGCCGACAGCACAAGGCATCTCTCGAGAGCCCCATTCCTGGTCCTGACTCTCCACACGGGACGCAAAACAGGGAAAGGACTGCCCGTGGAGCAGCAAGATGACCCACGGAGACCACGAGCGTGGGCATAAACACACGCCAACCGACCACTTCCCACCCCACTAGCCCCGTACCCCTCCTGCCTGCGCACGCCCCACCATCGTCACCGCACCCCCCATCCCTCCTCTTCTCTCCCCAGACAAACAAGACAAATGCACACACAGTCACACACGCTCAGAACAGGAGGAACACCTCTCATACACGTGAAGGTACGAGAATGCACATCCCACGAGATCCCATAAACTTTCTGTTCATTGATATACAAATGTACGAATTGTAAATCTCTGTGGTTTTTGTTGTGTATGACAGTACCCCCTCTACGCCCTCTCTTTGTTCTGTAACCTCATATATGTTATAAATAAAGAATTTATAAAAAAAAAGAATATATTAGTTCATTATCTAGACCAGGGGTTCCCAATAAATATTTCCCGTGTAACCTTTTGACATAGTGAATCATCTTTGGGAATGCTGGCATGGAGTCTCTATTTCCATGGGGTCCAGTGGGGCTGCTGGGCTGAGCGGCTGGCGTGCGGGCAGCGAGGGAGCAGTGATCTTCCTGCTCAGCTTCCTCGCGCGCCTCTTAGTGATGCCGGAGTGACGTCATATTCCGTGCTGGCATCACTGTTGTGCACGCCACGATAATGGCTGCGGTAATTTAGGCGGGCGGCGAGGGAGCTCCTCAATTACAGCTGCGGCTCTTTTGTTTCCCTAAATTTTGTCAGCACCCCATTTGTGTTCTTGCGGACAGGGTTCCGCGGAACACCAATTAGGAAACGCTGATCTAGACAGTACATTTAATATAATCCAAAAAAAAAAAGACTATTGAAGTATGCAATGATACCTTTTTTATTGGACTAACATAATATTTATTGGCATCTTGTCTACTGGACTAATACGGCGAATCCAATGTCATTACTTCTAATCCTACATTTACTCTGTCCAAGGCAGTTCTTAATGCTAAATATGTATTTTAACAATTTTTACAGTTCTAGGTAATTATTTTTCCTGTCCCATCCACTATCATCTCTTTCAATCCCATAAAAGTGTCCAAATTTCACCTCATATTCTTTTCAATCCCATATATTCCTCCAATTCCCACCCATAATCCAGTGTTTCTTCCAATTCCCACCCCTAATCCAGTGTTTCTTCCAAATTGTAACCGCGGCTGGTTCCCTTATTTACCACTATAATGTCTTAAAGCATAGAACGTAGTAGGGCTAACCATACAGATATCTTAGCCATAATTTTATATAGTTAGTAAGAGATCCTCTATTTAAAATATATAAATAACTGAGAATACAATATAAAATAATGATTGTCTTGGAAGCAATAAAGTTTTGTCTTTTTAGATATTTATTATATAAAAATATAAATAAACATATAAAATCCATTATAGCAGAGTTTATAAGATTAAATTAAATGCTTGCAAATAGCATTAATAGGTTAACATACCCTTCTGAACATGTCATCATGTTCAGAATCTCTGTCATTTTAAGATGGAGCAGCATCTGTCTCCAAGTCTCTCCTCTGTGTCTTAACATTTAAAAGTACACCTATTTATACCTTAGGTGCAAGGC